GAGTATTTAAATAAAGCGCATTTAAGAATAAAGTGAGAAGCATGCTGATAACACGACGATGCACCTGATGCATCTGTTCCTAACACTAACACTACCACTGTTTCTGTCTCAACTACAGCAGTGCAAAGGGCGTTCCGTTAGAGCGCTGGCAACTAAAGAGGACTTGATGGATACAAGTGAAGTAATAGGAAAAAGAAATCGGGACGCATAAGCTGGTGTAAAAAAGCAAAAAGGCCCGTGCCACCATCAAATGCTCTGATGCCAAAAAGAAGAAAGTGCACATCAACACATACCTCAAAGCGCACAATGGCCACATCATCCTGCTTGATAAAACGTGGGGTAACGTCGGTTTTCTTGTTGGTCTTTTTGTCGATGCGGCAGATGATGGTTCGGAAGCGCACCTCCTCGACACAGGCGTGGACGTGCATAACCGCGGTGAAGCCTCGGCAGATGATGGATTTGCAGTCGAGGATGATAACTTGGGCGTCGAAAACAGTGGCGGCCTATTAAGAGGAGATGGAAGTGAGCGAGGAGGAGTGGTAATGGCATGCCTTTGTAAAGAAAACAGGTCCCCTTTCTTTGCCTAACCAGAAAGGGGAGGCGTTGATTTGGGTCAAGTAGAGCAGGTCTGGACATTAGGCGTAGCGCGTGCACGTGGACTTCAGACGTACTCAAGTCGTCAGTCACTGGTATTGGCTGCATCATCGACAAGGTCACAGATGCAGGAACGAGGTAAAACAACGTAACTGATGTAAAACAACCGACTAACCAGTAACTGCCATCTCCTAACGATTGTCCATGGCTACACAGTATTAAATTAAACATTGTATAACCGCTGGCACAACTAGGCTGCGGATTACTATTGTAGCTCTAAACATTCGTGACTTTAAAGGGTCATTATGTTGTTGAGCACGTGATGAGCCTCATAGGATACAATGATCGAATCGTTAAACAAAAAATTAACGAGGTCTCGAAAAGTGACCCTAGAGTAAGGCAACGGGAAAAGGAAACGCGTCTAGATGTTTTGTGAACAAAAATAACATTCCATTAAATGAGGATAAATGAAACTATCATAGCCTACCAGAAACTGGGATTTCGAAAAAGCTCACGCGAGGGCAAGATCGCGTCGCGGGACTGTAATTAGGTTTTTAACGCTTGTGCGGTTAAAATGAGTCACGACTTGCAAACTTCCACAAGAAATTAAACAGTTCGCAGTATCAAAAACGACCAAAATCAACACTAACGAATTATCAAAAAGGATGGCTAAGATTGCACATTATTTAACTTTCGGCTGGGTCCAATAAGGGTAAGCCCTAGGGACCGGATCAACTGACCCACTTTTGAGATCTGACACCGCTGTATAGGGGAAACCATGGTGAGAAGTGTAGGAAAACCTTCAAAATGGTGTCAGAAGGGAAGTGAAACCCACACACAAGAAATAAAAAGCACAAAAAGTCCGACTCTAAGTTATTTTGTGTACGAGTTGGTCGGCTGAATAGCTGTCATAAAAACATTATGGCGAGACTAAAAGCAGTTAAAAAGCACAGCATTCAAGACAGCCTAAAACTGGGAGGAAAGTAGGGATAGAGAAGTGGCACCATTATTGGCAGCGGAAGCGAGGCTGACCATCACTTTTGACAGCGGGCACAGCGGTGGTCAGCTGCGATTTACTGAAGA